ACGCGACGTTGGTGAGCTCGAACGGTGGTATGGGAGGTCGGGGTTGGTCGTAATCACAAAGGGAAGAACTGGGGATCAGGTAGGCTAGTACACCATCAGGATGGAGGCAGCCTCTTCTTGGCTGGTGGTGAAGAAAAACGGGAAGGGAAGAGAGAAGTGAGGATAGAGAGAGAGAGAGAGAGAGAGAGAAAGAGAAAGTGAGAGAGAGAGAAAGAAAGAAAGAGAAAAAGGAGAATGAGAGAGAGGGTGGGGCAGCCATTTAATATTAAATAATTATATATTTTTTTCTTTTAAAAAAAATAAGGCAAATCATCATTATCGGTCCATGTGGTTGTGAAATGACAGAAATGCCCTTCACTTAATTGTTAAATGCTTACGGAGTTAGCGAAAATGACCATTTGTTAAAAATTTTGAAACTACAGGGACCATCTATGATGTTTTTAAACCACGAGGACTAAACTTCAAATTTTGGGTAACCACAAGGACCATTTATGATGTTTTTTCAAAATTTTATTAAATAAGCGATCTTAATACTAATTTTTTGTTATTCTTTTTGTATTTTTTATTTTTTGTTTGTCTTTTTGTTATTTTATTACTTTTTTATTTTATTTTTATTTTTTTGGTTGTATTATTATTATTAAAGTAAACAAATAATTAAACAAATAAAAATTTATTAAATAAATGATCTTAATACTATTTTTTTTTTTTTTTTTTTTTTACTTTTTACTTGGTTTTTTTTTACTTTTACTTTTTTTTTTTTGTTATTATTAAAGTAAACAAATAATTCAACAAATAAAAAATTATTAAATAAACGATCTTAATATTATTTTTTTCATCAATTTAATAGTTTGATCATATATTTATTAAAAATATTTAAAAAAAAAGATAACAAGGGTAGTGCAAATGAAAAATATAATATTATGCATTTATTAAAAATATTAAAAACAAAAAAACAGCAAAAAGACAAAGAAAAAAAACAGAAAAGAGGGGTAGAAAGTGGAATTTAAGGGGTACCCTTGTATCTTTTTATATAGACAACAAAAAAATAAAAACTTAAAAGCAACAAAAAAATAACACAACATATCAAATAAAATTGGGTTAAAGACAACAAAAAGACAAAAAAAAAATGCATGGAGAAATTTCAAAAATATTGGATGATAGATACAACCAAGGTTCTAAATAACATAAGGCGTGACTTGGTGGCAATGTCAAGTTTTTCCAAGCCTTGGCGAGTCATGACGTTTGTAAGGCGTGACTTAAGGCGACATTTTTTTTTGTATAATTAATATTTTTATATGTATTTTCAACTATTATTCATTTTTATACACATATATGAGTTAAGGCGGCGTTTTGGCAAAGCTTGGCGGCAAGTGCAAGCCTTGGAGTCGTGGCGCGCCATGGCGGAGCCATAGCGAGCTTTTTAGAACCTTGGATACAACAACACCCTTTTAGATATTACTTTCAGAAAGTGTTGTTGGCTTACGATGTGTCATGGGTAGATATGTCTCAGGACTCCATCAAGAGAGAGTCACCATATTTATTGTAGAGAATCGTTTTTTAAAATAATGGATAAATAGTACAAAAACATTAACTTTATATCAAAATTTTAATTTGATATTTTGTTTTTTTTTTCATAAAATTTGAAATTGTATTTTTCTAATTTTTTATAATTCTGGTCAGTTAACTGGTAAACTAGGTTACCTATTGAAGTTGCATGATGACGTAACATGCTAACACAACATGTTGACGTGTTAAAGTTGATTTTTTAACAAAAGACACTAAGTTTTCATTTTTTTCGATTTTAACACTAAGTTTAAGTTTTTTTCCCTCAATTTCGACACTATTTTTTGTTTGTAATTGAATATCATTTTTTACAATTTTATTGAATATTGACAATTTTCCATTTAAAATCGTGTAAATATATTTTTTTATTACATTTTAAATTGTATAAATATATTTTTTAGTTTAAAAACCATATTTTTATATAAATACATTTTTTTTACATTCAAAGCATAATGTTATGCATAAGTATGCATTAGTTATATCATGGGAACCAAAATAATCAAAAGCTTCAAATAAGATCAACAAAATTTTATCAATTATCGCTTATGATATATATATATATATATATATATATATATATATATATATATATATATATATATATATATATATATATATATATATATATATATTGTTGTTGTTGTGTTGTGTAGATTTTACACATATTTTTATTTACAGTTAAATAATTTTATTAGGTATATATTGATATCTAGGGTTCCTTTGAAACATTGAAAAAGAGGTGAGAAATATAGAACAAAATACCAAAATTTAATGAGAATATTAAAATAGATGTAATAATGACAATATTTACACTTCATAAATTTTTTTGGACAAAATTGCAAAAATGGTCCCTATGGTATGTATTTTTTGGGGATTTTGATCCAAACCATGACTTTTTTTAGATCGATGGTCCTTTTGAGCTAGTTTGCTTGTAGTTTTAGTCACTGTCCAAACTAAAAGGACAATTATATCTTTAATGAATTTAGTTTTCATTTTTTTTTTTACTTTTTAAAATTGTTATTATTATTAAATATAAAAGTGGACCCAGTTATCCACCATCTCTCTCTCTTTCTCTCTTCTCTCTCTCTCTCTCTCTCTCTCTCTCTCTCTCTCTCTTTCTCTCTCTCTCCTAAAATACCGACCCCTCATCTCTTCCTAGCCTTGTTCGAAAAACAAAGCCAAAGAGTGGAGATTGCCACCTCTGTTGATCTAGAGGTAGCCACCACACCACCTGCTAGCTTCCCGTCAGCGACTAAATGCCACCGTAAATCCCATAGCTTTTCCACCTTCCATTGTTGTGCTGGAAAACAAGCAGGAAGAAGCTACACCACCCCACTACCATCACCTTCTCCCCACCGAAAACAACCATCCCAACCCCACTCCAAACTAAAACAACCATCCGACCACCAAACTACCTCCTTTCCCTCCCCCCTCTTATTCTCATTTGTTACTGGCAGAAGAGAAACATGGAAACAAGGTTGCCACCTCATTGCCACCGTGAGACTTTCCGACCCACCGCTAACGAGTTGCTGTTGCCGAGTTACTTCAACCACCACCTGCCAACCCTCGTCGATGCAACCCACCACTATTGTTGTTGCTGTCAGAATCTTCTCCTCATTAGATCAATTGCCACCTTCCTCATCCCTCTCCCCGAGTTCATGCCGGTAAAAAACAAACGAACAAGGCAACATAATTGCCATTGTGCGCCACCCATCACCACCACTGCCATTTTTTTCTTTTTTGAGTTGCTGCCATCGTGAAGACTCCGATCAGCCATCACATCCCCCACATTGAGAGCTACGTCCTGGGTTTGGAAGCATATAAGATACGGGGTATTAAATATGTATGAATCTAGGGGATACGGGGTATTGAAAGAGAAAGAAAGAGAGAGAGAGAGAGAGAGAGAGAGAAAGAAAGAGAGAGAGAGAGAGAGATAAGTAGGCCTAATTTTGTATTTAACAATAATAACTATTTTATAAATTAAAAAAAATAAAAACTAAATTTATTAAGGGTATAATAGTCTTTTTGGTTTGGATAGCGACCAAAACTACAAACAAAGTAGCTCAAAAGGATCATCAACCCAAAACACTTGTAGTTTGGACCAAAACCCCAAAAAATGCATACCACATGGACTATTTTTGCAATTTTGTCTTTTTTTTTTTTTGAAAAATATGAGCTAGAAAATATGATTTAATGAGAGTCACACCATGAGATTCAAGATGTTCATAATAATATTATGAATAAGATATATGATGTAAAAATTTCACGGGTTGCAAACCTGACCTCTGGGTCTTGATCGACTACTGACATTTGGGTCTTGATCGACTGTACGCCTCCAAACCTCCAAACTCCTTTTAAAGTTATGTATGTAATATAAAATATGGTTTTTATATAACTAATACATATTTATACATAAAATTATGGTTTGAATGTAGTAAAAAAAAGAATAAAAAAAAAAACTTTGTATTTATACAAAAATATGGATTTGAAATTAAAAAAATATATTTATACGGTTTAAAATATTTCAAATAGAAAATGGTCAGCATTGAACAAAATATGAAAAATGATGTTTGATTTGGAACAAAAAAACAGAGTGTCAAAATTAAAAAAAAAAAAAAAAAATTAAACTTAGTGTCAAAATTGAAAAAAATGAAAATTTAGTGTCTTTTTATGGGAAAAAAAATTAATTTTGACACGTGAGCATGTCATGTCAACATATCACATCATCACGCCACATCAGCAGGTAACCAGGTTGACCGGTCAAGTGGTTAGAATAGTAAAAATTTGGAAAACACAATGTCAAATTTGAATGAGAAAAAACTAGTATCAAATTAAAATTTTGATGTAAACTTAATGTCTTTTGTGCTATTTAACCTAAAATAATTGTGGTTATCATGTTTATAAGTTAATGTAATTAACTATATACAAACAACTCATTTATCTTTGTGGTTAATTAGAGGATGCTCTAAACCTAATATTGAGAATGATGCTCCCAAGGAAGTTGGATGGTCGCGAGGCCACGAATGACAGATGGATGGAGGTCCGATAAAAAAACAGGGGAATGATAACCTCCTACTACGTATCATGCATCCTAAAAGGAACAATTAGACTCACCCTCAACGAAACTTTCAAGGAATTTGGAAAAATTACTAATGTCTACATTCCAGGAAGGAAAAACAAAGGTGGTGGGTTTTTCGGTTTCGTTAAATTTGTAGGGGTAAAATATGAAAAAGAATTAGAATGATTTATGCAAAAGGTGCGGTGTGGTAATTGTATCTTAAAAGTGAACATATCCATGTATGGCAAACAAGATCATTGAAACAGAAGATTGATTACAATCGGAAGAGATGCCCAACCCTATGTAGCCCCTCCCCCTCATCCGGTTGTAAAAAAAAGGTTGGGGCGAAACCAGGGATGAAAGAACTTATGCAGATGTGATGGGGGCAAGTCATTACGCCCTAAAGGCTTCAATACAAGTGACTGCCACAGTAGCTCTCAAGCATGTTCCGGCTGTGGTGGCATGGAATGAATCCACTCTTGTGGGTGATGTCCTAAACATCGATCTACTCACTGAACTTCCTAAGTTAATGGATATTGAACACAAGTTCTCACATAACCTCTTCTATGTGTGGGTCATGTGAGTAGTTCTGAGGTTTGACCTTACCAGAGATGCACAAAAATTTCTTCTTGAAGAACATAGATGGAACAAATGGTTCAAATGTTTGAGAAAAGGAATGTTTGGCGAACAAACTTGGAGAGATTGGCATGGGTAAAAATAACGGGGTTCCCAATAGCTCTTAGGGATGAGGAGAATTACTCCATAATTGCAAACATATACAGGAAAACTCTACAAGTTGAAGGATGGAATTGGCATAATCTTGATCTTTCTTATGGAACAACATGCATCCTGACCTCTACATTAACCCGAATAAATGATGTTACGGTATGCACCTTCAATAATAAGACTTATGACATGGGGGTAGTTGAATACAATTATAACTGGCATCCTTTTCTTTATTAACATTGCAACTCCCTAACTGTATGAGGATGATGGTATCAGAGAAAAATACGATGAAAACACGTCTGACTAGGACTCTGATGAAGATTGTGTATTAGAAATTTGGGAAGATCCAAAGAAGGATAAGTTTGAAGAAGGGGAAATTGATCAAAATAATGAATTGTAGTTCATGGCAGCCGACAACGACAAAGATGTGACCGATGGGAGGCAGGCTCCAACTACGATGACGCCGACAAAGATTATTGGGGAGGTAAAATCAACATTAATTGGGGAAAATGTTTCGTATCCTAGAATTCCCGAACCTAATTATACATTGGAGATTCCCAATACATGCCAAGGTGGTGAAATGTTAATTCGATGCCCCATACCCAACGCACTAAGTGTTAACCCAAGTGAGGTTGGGCCGGCTGCCAAAAATATGGAATGGGCCTACAGAATCAATCCAGAAACCTCCACCCCAATTAGAATTTCTCTGACTCATCTGGATTCTTTACCCAATTTCAATTTGGTGACTCCCTTGGAACGCGAAGGAAGATTATGCGCAATCTCTCCTCCGTCATTACACCCAGAAGAATTTTCGACCCTCCTATCTCAGATTTTGTCCAGAAAACACTAATTCAATCCCAATACTTGCGGTTTTCTGCTCCAAGTCTTCTTCCATCAACATGAACAAAATGATTTTGATATCTGATTCCAACAACTCCAATTACTTAAATGATGGATGCTCCTCTTCGAATGAAATTGATAGTGCAATATGAACTGGTAATGAAGTGGGATTCTAGATTGAGAAAAAATGAAGTTGTGGTTGCAGTATTTGATGGTCTTGGCGACCGCATCAGTGCTCAATGAATCTTGTGAATCTTAATTTCAGGGGACTTGGAGAATCGAATAAAGTGGAGTGGATTAAAAAGCTTAAATTCTCTCATAAAGTGGACTTTATCGGTATCTAGGAAACTAGGATGAATGATTTCAACACATGTGGGTGTTGGGGTTCACAAAATTTAGAATTTGGTTTTGTGAATCCAACGGGACAATCTGGGGGTATCATAAGTTTATGGGACCCAATGGTATTTCACAAGTCACAGACTATAACATCAAGACATTACATAGCCACCTCTGGAGCTTGGTTGGGTATTCCAGGAATTACCACCATTGTAAACGTTTACGGACCATAATCTATAACTGATAAGCGCAAACTCTGGGAAGAATTGTTGGAGCTAAAAAGAGGGTTAATTGGAATGTGGGTGTTTCTCAGTGAATTTAACTCTGTAAGGTATGCTAGTGACAGGTTCAAATCCTCTTTCTATCATTATACAACATCAAATTTCAATCATTTCATTGCCAACTCGGGTTTGCATGAATTCAACACCAGTGGTATGATATATACTTACGAACATGAGGATGGCATGAAATTTAGTAAGTTATACAGATTTCTAGTATGTCAAAATTTCATTCAAGCGCAAACTCAAACTTCAGTGACAAATCTCCTGTGTGAGCATTCAGATCATTCCCTGGTGATCCTTAAACCCTACAACGCTGATTTTGGCCCACCTCCATTTCGAATTTTCAACTCTTGGATGCTCGGTAAAGATTTTAATGTATTCTTTGACAAAGCTTAGATGACCTTTCTAGGCTATGGTGCCCCAGATCAATATTTCATGGAAAAGCTAAAACATCTCAAAGATAACCTCAGAAAATGGAGAAGGCTTGAATCCGAAATGGAATGTGGAACCTTAAAAAAATTAAGAAAGGAAGTGAATTATTTGGATATAGAGGCGGAAACTAAATCACTATCAGAAGCAAATATCAATTTTCGAAGAGAAGCATAAAACAAAATTCATGAGCATTATTATGCTGCCAAACTTGATGGAAAACAGAAAGCCAAAGTTAAATGGATTTGCGACGAGGATGAGAATACTAGATTCTTTCATGAGATGTTGAGAAACAAGAATCGGAAAAACAGGATTCATGGAATCACAATAAACAGTGAGTGGTACTCTGATCTAAAACTTATCACGAAGAAGGTTATCGTATACTTCAATGAAAAATTCCATGAAACATGGCCCAATAAACCCAAGCTGATTAACCCACTTTTCAAGCAGCTAAATCCGATTCAAAGACCCCAAATTGAGTCCCCAATTTTGATTGAAGAAATAAAATCGGAAATATGGTGTTGTGGCTTCGAGAAAGCACCAGGACCCAACGAGTACACATTCAAACTTATAAAATCTAAATGGTAGGTCATGAAAGATAATATAGTTTGGTATGTAAAGAAATTTGAGGAGACAACCTCTGTCTCTCATGGATGTAATTCATCATTCATTACATTAGCCCAAAAGGAAAGGATCCAATTGAATTTGTAGATTATAGACCCATAAGTCTAATTGGGTGCTTATACAAAATCAACGCTAAAATAATTGCAAATCATTTGAAAGATGTCATTGAATCCGTTGTAGATGAAGTTCAATCATCATATGTAAAAGACAGGAACATCCTTGACGGACAATTGGTGATGAATGGAATCTTTAAATGGGCTAAAAAAGCAAAGAAGATTTCTCTTCAAGTTGGATTTTGAAGAGGCGTTCGATTCCATAAACTCAGGCTATTTATATTCAGTGATGGAGCAAATGGGATTTGAGAGAAAATGGAGAATTTGGATACATAGTTGCCTTTCTATTGCAAGAGCCTCAGTTTTGATCAACGGGACTCCTATGGAAGAGTTTCAAATCCTGAGGGGAGTGAGACAATGGGACATATTCTCACTGTTCCTTTTTATCTTAGCAATGGAACGTCTCCACATGGCAATACAAGACACAAGTGATAAGTCTTTAATCCAGGGGATCAAACTACCACATAATGGGCTGATTATCTCACACATTTTCTATTGGAGCTAATATGCAGGCAAAAAATAATTGGAAACCCATTGTTGATAAATTTCAACCGAAATTATCAGATTGAAAGGCAAATAACTTGCCATTTTTGGGACGATTAACTTTAATTAAATCACTGTTATGGACTCTTCCAACATATTATATGTCATTATACAAGGCACCACAAGGAGTTTTGGATGGGCTAGAAAAGCTTAGACGCAGGTTTCTTTGGGGAGGAACATATGAAAATTGAAAACATCCACTGGGTGGATTGGTCAAAAGTGACAGCAGAAAAAAAAAGATGGAGGCTTAGGTAATATTGCCTTATTAACAAAATGGTGGTGGAATTTGAAAAATGAAGCGAATTGTTTGTGTTCAGGAGTTATTGTAAGCATCAATAACCTGAAGAAGAAACCTGCAAATTAACTCTACAGTAGAAGTGCAATGGGTGTGTGAAGCAATGTGTCCAAAGCAATAAAGAGTCTCAACAATATGAACATCGATCCAAATAATTTTTTTTTGCTGGAACCATCTCTCTATCCTCATCTTCTATTTTGTAAAGATACTTGGTGTGGGGAGTTCACGTTGCAGAACAAATTCCCACTTTTGTACCAGCTACAAGCGGTTAAAATTTGTCAGCTTATTGATCGTTTATGCAATAGTGGTTTTTCTTGGAATTGGAAAACAAACCTTAGTGATGTTGCTGCCATTTCTAAACTACACGTATTCTATTCTCTATTTGGACCTTTGAATTTCTCTCACACAACAAACATATGTTTTCGATCCAATCTTAAAACATACGACATATATCTGGTCATTACCTTACGGAAATTGGTGGACTCCAAACTTATTCAATACGTGGGACCACATATCTGATGGTCAAAATTCATCCCTTTAAAAGTGAAATGTTTTGTAAGGAGGGCAATAATGAATATAATCCCTGCTATAGAAGAACTTAACCATAGGGATATTTCTATCTAAAACCAAATTTGTCAATTGTGTGGAAAATGTAATGAATCTGTTAAGCATCTCATGGTGGAATGCGACTTTTCCAAGGAGGTATATTACTGGATAATGCGTTGGTGTGGGTTTCTTAATATCCAATTCAAGAATGTGGGTGAGGTTATCGTCTTATCGACTTTGATGTTCCAAGAGGAAAATGCCCAAGCAAGAAGGAAATTACTAAGATGATATTATATTCTACCTTGTGGAATATTTTGTTAACCAGGAATGATAAATTTTCAATTAAACGGGGGTTAATCCTGCAAAAACAACGGATTTCATTGTAGCACAATCATTTGAATGGATCAAATAAGTGGGAATAAAGACATAAGATGGGTGGAATGGAGTTGTTCTCTTTTTATAGTTTGATTTTCTTTCTTTTAAGTTTGTATTCTGTTAAATTAAAACTTCTGTTGGTTCCTTTTGTCATGGCTTCTTGCTATGCCTCTTTTTCCTTATATAAAGTATTTGTTGTTTTCAAAAATATATAATTAAGTATATATAAAAAAGATTGGTTAAAAATATGAATATAAACATATGGAATGTTGTTAGTTAGCTTTTCAATGGATATTACTTTAAATGTGTTATATATTAAAAAGATTGGTTAAAAATATGAATATAAACATATGGAATATTGTTACTTAGCTTTTCAATGGATATTCCTTTAAATGTGTTGGAGTGGTCAACGTATAGACCGTAGAGCATGACCAGAATAAAGGATCTAACAACTTATATTTTTGTTGTTTAGTTAAAATATGTTTGGTATGAACCATACACCTTCACAAAAATGTGTCACTTGGGAAATCTTTATGTAGTTTCCCACTCTATTTCTATAAACCACAAAGAAATGCTAATGTTTCAAAACCATTTGACCTCGTAACTTAGTTACTTAATCTAATATGGCCATCAGCCTATCACCAATTACCATATATATTTCATAATGCCTTATAAATTTGCAAATTTAGTTTCTTGACACTTTTTTGAAATATTAATGTAACTTTAGATTTCGTAAAGCCTTTTTGAGAGATTGGAAAATTTTAATGGTCTTATATCTTGGAGTTACATATATAAATATAATCAAGGTTGTAAAACTCGTTATTTGGTATTGGTTCGACTAACTTCCGAGTAGCGAGTATTTGAGAGTATTCGGATTCAGTAAATCATGTAAAAATAGTTTTAGGGAATTTATATATTTCAAAATCATAAGTTGATTGAAACATACAATAAAATTAGATATATATATATATATATATATATATATATATATATATATATATATATGAATACACAAAAACTGAAATACACACAATAAACTCATCTTGTGAATAATTATTAAATCATAAATCATTAAGTGTATTATACATATTCATCTTTAAATTCTAGATTTTTTTTTTCTTTTTAAGACAATTTTGACTTTTTGACTGAGTTGGTCCAAGTACTCGGCCGAGTTTGACCGATTTGGTCCAAGTTTCATCGATTTTTGAGTTATTTAGCCGAGTTGGCTTAACTCGCCTCAATAAGGGGACGATTTCGAGTACTCATCCGAGTTGGCCAAGTTTTACAACATTGAATATAATGACTTTCTTGAGCATTCTTATCTTCCATCTTGAGACACAATTTTTCAATCAAATATCGTTGTGACACATACTTGCTCAATGCTACAATTAATTTCTTCTTCGAAACACCATAAAATGAACTCATTATTTTAATTGAAACCTTTTGAATCTATTTCGTGGGTTATAAT